TCTCATCTTCTCACACAGGGCCTCACATTCGTTTATCGTTCTCTACCCTTGTTTGCGTTTCGCTCGTTTCGCGCGGGTATTTGTCTTGTCAAAATGGACAAGGGGAACGACGAGGGCAAGAGCTTAAAAAATGACGTAAAGGCCATCATGAAGTCGGCGATAGATGAACTTGATCGCCTAAGATCATCCCATCGAAGTTCATCAATCAGCTCATCAAGTTTAAATTTTAATTCCTCTGGCTCTGTACAAAGTAAAGACAGTGATTTTCAGACAAGAGCTAGAGAAAACTTCAGGTAACATGCGTTTTATACTTTGATTATTTTATCTTCTTTTACAAAAATATCTTGTGATTTATATTGTCTTTCTGCTAAATCAACTTCTTTTGATATTTTGCAAGACGTGCCTTCCCATCTAGAAGAAGTCAGCAACGCCATCCGGTACCAGAAAAAAGGGAGGGGAAAGGATCAACGAGATACATGTCTTATTTCAAAGCTAAGGAAAGTTGGACTCATAATTTTGGACTCTTGCTGGAGTAATTGACGATCTAACCCCTACAAAGGATAATTTACTGGATCTCCAGAAGGCTGGCTTGGGGAGGAAAAAGGTAGTATTTGAAAACAACAAGGCAAATCATGAAGAATACATTGTATCCCTTGAAAAGGCATGCCCTAAACTTAAAGATAGATGAGGTGTGGAGCTGCTTTATGCTGTTGGAGGTGGTGGAGGACAAAGGAAGCTGGAAACTATTCCACCTGGCCCAGATGGCTATTCCAGTCCTTACCTGAGATGCACAATGTGTGTTGGTCAAGCAGTCACCTATGTAAGACCTTTGCAACAGGACTTAGACCTCAGCCCACAATCCACTAGTCTGGTACTGTGTTCGAATGTTTTTTGTAATTAATTTTTAATTAAAGGAACTATTTTGTCATCAGAAGAAGAGTGCAGGGAGAGGGAAGGGTTGATGTATTTTGTGAAAGGGACTTGCAAAGTGGGATGGAGTCAACTTGCTTTTTTCTAGTATTTCTTAAACACCACATAAATCCCACCAGCACCCCCCTGGTGAAAAATGGTTCTCACCTTCGACACATATTACAGTACTTTCATTTGTGACATATTACAGTTTATACCATCACAGCAAATTACTTCTGTACTTACAGTAGTTTTATTGTTACTCATAGTTTTAAGAATGTAAGTTGTGCTAACATGCGAGTTATTCCAAATTATTACATAATATTATATATCAATGTGCCATGTATAGTATTACTATTATTACACTGGGTTTCACCTCATAAATAATTTGTAAATTTTTATTTGTTGCGATATATCTTCTATACACAGTTTGTAGGAGACAAGGATTGCCCGACTGTTGAATGCATGTCATGTGGCCAGAAAGTGGATTATGGTCACCTTAGGGTCCATAAGGAGGAGTCCAAAGAATCTACACTTAAGGTAATTGTCAAAGCTATTGTTGAAGTCAAAGTCAGGACGTCATTACATTTCTGCCCATGCAATTGAGTTCTACAAAGCACTTCAGAACAGTTTTCTTAGATGCATGTAAAGTGACTATTAGTGTACATATGAAAAAGTAATGCAAATTATACCATGGAATATGCAAAAATATAGTGACCACAATATACCTGGGTATTGCTAGCTAGAATGCAGCACACGATTTCATAGCAGATGTCAACAAATAAAAAGTGACTACTACTTAGTAATTCGCAGGTTTATTGAATTCACTTCCAACATTGTGAGATAAAATGTTGCTGCTTTTAATGGTAGGATTGTGGTGATGAACTTTCAGATCCTTTTTTTCAAGCAGGCCCATCTCATATTGATTTAACTTCTGCAAGTGAGGTATGTGTCAATTATAAACATGCAATAATTAGCAAGTTATCATTTTGTCATGCATATTTATTTGAGGCTGTAATGTCTCAAATATCATCACTAAATGATTATCAATTCTCCCATTATAAACATATATTTCATTTAATCTTTTAATTGCAAGAAGATTGGTGCTGAAGGACAAACTGCATCTGTTGACACCAAAGCCAGGCCATCTTTAGATTCCACTTATGAAAAACGGAATTATTGTACATGTATCCCCCTTCCACGCAAAAAAAACAGTCATCCTCCTGTATCCGCAATTCGGAAATTCGGATACTAACTGCTGTATTATTTCATCAACTTCATTATCGCCAACAGCAGAGTAGGTTTGAGAAACTGAAAGATCATAATCTCGAAATCTTCGCTTAATTGTACTGAGGCTTACTCCTAGCATTTCAGCAATTTGGGAACTGAAAAGTTGTATTCCAAAAACATCTCAAGCTGCTCTTTAGGAATAACAAAACTTGGTCTTCCTTTGCATCCAGAATATACTTTTTCTGGTTTGTGACCCGAATAAACGTCTTTATCGAGCTGTACAATGATGTTCTGTGCATATCGGAACTTTTCTATCACAGAATTCACTGGAATGTCAACATCTGGTTTGGCTTGTGTACATCGACTCAAAACGCCTAAAACCCAATCGAGACGAAATTTTACGCTATCTAACTGATCTTGTCCAACAATGTGCTTCTCCAATTGCGAGACTAAATCGAGAAGAAACCTTTTTCCATAAAACCGTAGGGCTTCCAACGCTTCAATACTTTGACAGTATGTGGTCGTGAGAGCCTGTGTACTAATCTTTTGGGTGCGACCGTAGTTAAGACGTTCTCAAGGCGCATAGCCCGATAAAATGACATGACCCGATAAAACGATATGACCGAATAAATTGACGACACGACCCGATAAAATGACGACATGACCCGATGAAACGACTGAAGCCGAAAAGCCCGATAAAACGACGACTTGACCGAATGAATTGACGACACGACCCGATAAAATGACGACATGGCCCAATAAAACGACGACAACACCCAATAACACTGCGGTACGACGCGATAACACGACGACACGGCCCGATAAACCCGATAATCATCATATGATATTTTTGAACCTATTCACTCTTCATAAGAGTATGCTTGAACAAGCCGGAACGCCGCGAAATGTTCAAAAATAGTAATAATGAAAACAGTGATAAATATATTGCGTTCAACGAAGGAGAACGCGTACTACTCATATCGTTTTTCAGTCTCGAGAGGTTTTTGGTAACCTGCGGGTATCGATCAAAGGCCAAACTGTCTCAGCTTTCTAATTTGACACCATCTTGTACTGCCTGAAACAAAACGCCTTGGAATGGGGGGGAGGGGGGGGGGTTATGCTGAAGCTTCGAATTGATCGCTGCAAATTGAGTTAATTTCTAAGCTAGATCGAACGCGCTTTACTAATCCATTAATATTTCTAGACTAAAAATGAATAAAAAGAAAACAAAATTACGTGCTTCTCTCCCTCTTCGAATGTGTCAATTCTTCCCTCAGGGTTTTTGTTCGCTTCTATTTTTTTCGCGTCAGAAGGAAAATTAAAATACGATATCAATAGAAAAATAAAGGAAAGGGAAAATAGGAAGTTTTAAACGTTTATAAATATTGATAGTCCGAAAACGAGAACAATGTTTCTACCTTTTCCCATGGCTAGAGTTCTTAAATGAGGCAGAAAAAGAGAAAAAAAAAGGAAAAGGAGACTCGGCATCAGCGCCGTCACGATTCGCTTCAACTGATATTGTTATCCATTTTTCCCGTCGGATTTGATGCACAATTCTACCGGCTATGTTCTAAAACAATTGGTTCATGCTTTCAGCTGTGCACTATCGAGTTATGGAGCACGTGGGAAGTTTGGAGAGCACTCAAGAAGCTAGAGTTGCCCTCGGCTATCGCCTCGGGCAACTCTTACGCTTCTTTCGTGCTCTCCAAACTTCCCGCGTGCTCCATAACTCGATAGTGCACGCTAAAGCATGNAATATATATATATATATATATATATATATATATATATATATATTTAACTCTAGTTGACGTCACGTTCGAAAATGAAATTGCAGAATCCCGCCCTAAATGGAGAACTCAGTTTATATGATAAATAAAATATTGGGAGAAACACAACTGGTCCCAGCTGTTTACGATCAGATCATCTTACTTGCAAAGAGCTTTCCCCGCACAATTCGCTCCACAACGTACACGCGCATCTTCCTTTCTCTTTTCTCTAGTCCACGGGACACTAATTTACAAATTGGTTGACGGCAGCATTTTACAATTCGATGAGAAACAGGCACTGTGAACATAATCTTTAATCTTGTTAAACTGTTGGCTCCAACTGTCATTTTCCTCATACAACGTCTGCTGACTCGTTTTCTATTAATAAAAAATGACTTTTGAAAAAAAAGTCTTTGTTACTGTCTTGTCCCATGACGGTTTTGTATGACAACCTATGCTTAATTCCTCTACCTTTCGATTCCATGAGTGGTTTGTTGTTGAGTCTCACAGATAAACCTTAAGGTAAGTGTATCCATTTTCCATCCACACATTGGCGATTACCTTCTCATTTTCGCTGCCAAAAAAATGTTATTGTTTGAATAAATAAATAAAAATTAAAGATAGGGAAGTAAGATGTGGTTTTTGCTGGTGGTGTCGTAAAAAGCGGAGACGCAGACCAATATGCAATAAGGCTATTTTTCAAAAATAATATTTAGAACGATAGAATTTATTACGAAACAAAAATTTTTGCTACAAGACGTTATATTGTCAGTTTACAATTCATATGCTATTCGTTAGAGCACAGTTATTTTGAGACAACTAGTTAATTCATAGCTTGTATAGTTTTTGGCGGAAAATGTGGGTGCCATTTTTTCATCTTGAACATAATATTCATACATTCTGAATTTTTGCGAACGTTTATTCGTGACTGTTTCCCTAATGTCTAATCATCAGCTAGAGTCTTGAATGGGGCTAAAATTTGAGGTAATCCATGGATTTGTATACCTTTATTACCAGCTGAAGTAAAATAGTTGTATGAAATATGAACTTGATGCAGAACGTGTTAGTACAAATTTCAGGTTCCCAAATTTCTCCGTATTCATAAACAGGTAGACTTACCTCATAACTAGTGATGCCAGCTGTCTTTACCAGCTCGTATGAATATAAAAACAAGCTGAAATACGAGCGGCCTATTTTGTTCTCCGCCAGCTCGCCATTAAGGTACATTTGATCGCCTGCATCTGGATGAAACCTTTTAGTCTAGTGACTAAGAATTAACGCTGCATGTAAACCTTAGGAAATTTTTCACAATAAGTTATTGCACGGGTAGGGAAACAAATGACACATTTTCTAATGACTAAGATTATGTTCTTTTTTACAATAAGTTGCTGCACAGGTAGGAAAAAAACTGACATTTTTCCTTGCATTATGACTTTTCTTAATTTAACTAATACTTTACTACAGTCTGTTACGTATGATACACAAATATATGAACTTCATATATTCATTGTAGCAGAGTCTGTTCGTTAACCCACTAAATTCGAACTATCATTTTTTGTGTTCGTCATTCGTTTATCGAAAAAGAAAAATTTACCATGGAAAATGACGTAAGCTAGTGTCCTAAAAAAACAAATTGGCTCTTCTTGCAATCGATGAACTATTTGGAAAATACACAAAAATTATTCTTTCAACTCCCATTCTCTTTTCGGTGATAAGATCCCCAAACGGAAGCATGTATATGATGGATAAAAAACCGAAGAGATCAACTTCTGGCTTATAAAACAATAACGACAAACGAATGATCACTCTGAAGTTTACCGTCCACGCCAGAATATAGCGTTTCAGACGACGCAACTCGTGTAAAAAAATATTTCGATAATTCCTATCTCTATTTTGCCGGATAGCCGGGTTATTCAATATTCAGTTCTTTAATCTCACTTTGTGGACAGCGGAATCTTTGAAATTCCAATGACTGTCTTACATTCATGAACGAGTCCTTTCTCACATTTCTTTAGTTCACTTATTGAAGCTTATAGAATTAAACGAGATCAAAATGTATTTGCCTCCAAATAATAATACATGTCAAAGATATTGGGAGACAATTCCTTTTTCGTGACCTTTTGCCATTTAATAAGCTAAAAATAACAACTAGTCTTTCTTGACGTAGTCAATCCCACGTTAATCTGAATTTTTTAAGCTTGACAAAAATAATTTACCCGTACCGGAACACAGCACTTATTTTTGGATTGACAGTCATGGCTGAGACCGCCGGAAAAAACTGGGATCACCCACTCGCTTGATTTTGAGTCTGCAAGTTCACATTAATATTTTGAACCTCGTATTAAGCAAATTTCGTTCCTTGGATGTTTGAATAAAAAGGCTGCATAAAGGAATGTCAATAAGAGTTAAAATACCTGTTACAGGAAATACAAGGTTTGCGAATTGATAAAAAATCTAAATGACAAGTAAACTAAACACTGTTTCGAAACAAAACAACCATCTGAATTAAGCTAAAACGAAAGCAATGTCTAAGCTTAATCAAATTTGAATTTTCTAGTAGATATTCCTGCAACGAAACTTCAGCTGCACACAAATGATATGTTCCAGCGAATCCGAGTTATCGACTGTTGTTTGCATTTCGAACTTCGTCGATGTCAGTGTTGTAAATATTTTTTTGGTAATTATAAGGATTTCGACCAACCGCAATGAAGTTACATGCAAAATATGTTGCTGAGTAATTAATTGAGAGGAAAAATGAATACTGCATTGAGATGAAACTGTATGGAGATAAAAAGAAAAAAAAAGAAAAAAAGTAAGGAATTTCTTTTGGCTAAGTTCAGTATGTTTCAGCAATTGCTTTGTGCGAAATCGCCAAATTTGTAACTTATCATCTTTTCCATTTTCCCTCTCGTAAGTGTAAACTTGTGTACGATAGGTTGATGAGACCCTAGTTCGACTCCCGTTCAACAATGAAAGTACTGAATTTCGCCCTAAACGGAAAACTGAGTTTAAATAAGAAATAAACAACTGGGAGAAACACAGCTGGTTTCAATTGTTTACGATCACTCTGCACGCAAAGAGCTTTCCCCCGCACAAATCGCTATTTAGCGTACACGCACATCTCCCTGTCTCTTTTCTCTAGTCCACCGGATCCTAAAACAGGCATTGCGAAAACAATCTTTTATCTTGTTAAACTGTTGGCTCAACAGGAGCTTTTCCCTCCAACCATCATTTTCCCCATACAACATCTGCTGACTCGTTTTCTATTAATAAAAAATGACTTTTGACTCAGTAAAGTGCGCACATTTTTTATCGCTGGACCTCGTTTTGTTGGACAACCAAATATTAATTCCACTTCCTTCCAATGAATGTATATTGTGACGTCTTACTGCTAGACCCTAAGGTAAGTGTAGCCATTTTCCACACATTGGCGATTCCTTTGCATTTTCGCTGCCAAAAAAAGTCATTACTTAAATGAAAACATGATAGGGAATATGTCTTTCCATCGTGGTGTCGTAAAGAGCGGCCCGGTGACCTAGACCTATATGCAATAAAGATATTTTTCAAACGGATATGTAGAGCTATATTATTTGTTATTAAACAAAATGGTTTGCTACAAGACGTTATATGTGATGCGTTAATGCGGGGTTGTATTGAGACACCTGGTGAGATCATAGCTTGTATATTTTTTTGTTGGAGTTGGTGCCATTTTTGAATTTTCGCTATTGTTCATTCCTGATTGTTTCCCTAATGTCCAATCATCACAGTCTTGGATGAGGCTAAAATGTGCGGGAATCCATACATTCGTATAGCTTTATTACGAGCTAATGTAAAATAAATGCATGAAATATAAACCTGAAGAGGTTACAAGCAAAATAGTTTGATGAATATTTGATTAATTAAGAGACAAAATAAATACCACCACAAGAAAAAGCTGTATGGAGATAACGAGTTTTCTTTTGGCTAAGTTCAGTATATTTTAGCAATTACTTTGTGTAAAATCGCCAGATTTTTGTATCATCGCCTTTTTCCATTTTCTCTCTCGTGACTACCTGAGTGTGTAAATTTAGATACAATAAGTTGATGATACCCTTGTTCGACTTATCGACTCAATGTGCTAACCCCATCTGGAAAAGAACTAATTTTGAATCAACAGTCTCATCTACAGGCAACTCCAAACTTGTCAACGTGTCATGATGGCTAACTTGTGGCTTCGAAAAGCGTCAACGTGTCTAGCGCTATTAATTCATACCGGCGCTTTACGGAATCTGCTAATCGTCAGAGGCGAGACATGCAATTCCGACTTGAAAAGTAAGGAGTTAAACGTCCCGCTCTAAGGGCATATACATGCAGATGTTTTTGTTGCATTTATTTATGTATCTAAATATGTAAATATACAAAAAGTGCAAGATGGCCACTAAACGAACAGCTCCTTGTAGGAGGACTCAGAGAATACAAACCTTTTCTTTCAAATTTTTACTATGAGTAGATGAGAAAGAGAGAAGATAAACTCTTGACTGATCCAGCGTTTAAATAGTTTTACATGACGTTTTGGCCTTCGGGCCAATACAAGTTAAAGATCAACATTAGGAAAGCTGCATTAATCAGCTTGATTAGTCAAGAGTTTCTGAGCTTCACTACATATATAAATGAAGTAGATTTGATTATAATCTTTATCATCGTAGACAGGCCAGAAAAATATTGTGTATTATACGTTTTTTGCAATAACAATTTATCATCAATCTCTCTAACCCAGTTAGACCCGTTGTCGACATCTCTTCAAGTCCAGAAAAAAACAGTTTACCCACTGGTGCCTCAATAACCCTGACTTGTACGGCAGAGCCCAGAAGGATAGACTCAGGATATCTCGATAGATGGGTCGAATATATCGAGTGGTACGGCCCACAGGGTAGACGACTTGGAGCTAGATGCCACCAGCCCTCAAACATACATGCTCACAAACTTAAATTAAGCTGCCCATTAGTGCTTAAAAATTTGACAGTTGACAAATTTGGCCGCTACACTTGCCAAGCGGGAAATGGTTACTTAAAACACTGCACAAGGAAATCATTCGAAACAAGGATCCAGTGTAAGTAAACCAAGCTAATCATACCTTTCCATAATAACTGGGACCAGTTGCCTCTCTCGTAATTATTCATCCAATATTTAGACCCAGTTTTCCGTTTCCAGCGAGTTTCTATCATTTCATTGTTGGACGGGAGTGCATCCACAGATCAATAAATAAATAAATAAATAAATAAGACATAAAAGAGATTAAAACTTCCTGCATTTTTTCCCTTTCCCTTTATCTTTATCTTTTAGCATTGTATTACCTTTCTTTGTATCTCGAGAGATCAACCAAAGCAAACATAACGGAAACATGATGACGGAATTTAAAATTATTACTTTTACATTAGTAATAATCACGAATTAGTAAAAAGCGTTCGATCTAGCTTAGAAATGTATAATTTTTTCGCGGCCGAACAAAATCCAGTGTGTAATTTAATCTACGACCATCGAATGGTGGTTTGACTTAAAATTCTGATTTGTAGTAACTAATTTTGCGCCGGACAATCCACGGGCATATGACCGTCGTCCGTATCCAGGCGGGTGGGGAATTTGAACTGGAGATGTCATGTTTTTCAGCCTCATAACTTTAACCCAATACCACCAGATTCCAAGCCAAGTGCCTTAATCACCTGGAAACACTGCGTCTACGATCATAATCGTGACGATTAGGGGAAAAAACATACAGGCACCTACACATGTCACACACCCTCTGCAAAGGGAGGATCGATATGCCTGACATAATTCCCTCTGACCACGAGAATATGGCCATAAAGGGGTGGTATATGCACAAGCCTCAAAGCTAATTTATCTTTCCTGTGTGACACTAAAGGTCCTCCACTTCCTCGATCTCGTTATCAAACTTCCCCTTGGGGTGAAGTCTCCTTCGAGCTGGTTAATTCGGATGTCTCACAAGCTTTAGCCCCGACATACCAAAGAACAGCCGCAAATGAGACACTTTAATTCAAAGCGCCTATGACATCCAATTTAATGTTTTGATACCCATTTTCAGATGATCAAACACCTCAGATTGTTCAAGATCCAAAGAGCCAAAGTGCCTCGATCGGTTCCAATGCTACATTTAGCTGCACTGCTAGGGGCTTCCCGAGGCCAACAATCCATTGGATAAAGGACAATGCTTCAAATCCTTTACAGTCTAACCCCAGAGCAAGTGTTATTCAAGACAGGCCAAGGAATCGCAGCCAGCTTTTCATATCGAGAGTAGAAATGGGAGACTATGGAAAATATCAATGCATTGCAAATAACAGCATTGGAAGAAGTCAATCAGGTGTGGCTATCTTAAGCAAAGGTGAGAATTTTTTTTATTGAGAGGGAGAAATTGCAAATGCAAGTTCGGTTTTTGGATGAATGCTTCTGGTGTACAATTCTTTAAATTGATAAACATTCTTTTCATCAAAGGATCAGGAAAAAATGAGCAGTATTTTCTGTAAATTGTTTTCACAAACTTTTACTGTCCTCGTTTCAGTTTCAGCCGCTTTTGCAATTGCACTTTCTTAGTCATCTCGTAATCAAAATCCCTCTTGAAGTGTAGTGCTCTTTGAAACAGTTTTTCCGACATCCCGAAGAACGGCCACAACTGCGACAACTCACGGTGTCACATGCATCCAAATGAGTCAAGTAGCTGTCTTAAGTGTTAATGTTAAAGTTTTTATAGGCGCCTTTGAACAGTAGGATACTGGCGCGGTATAAATCTTTTATTATTATTATTATTATTATTATTATTATTATTATTATTATTATTACTATTATTATTATTATTACTATTATTATTATTATGTCAATTTGCAGATGTCCAAAAACTTGAGGTTGTTGATGGCCCAAAGAACCAAAGTGTCTCGATTGGTTTCAATGCTACATTTAGCTGCACTGTAAAGGGCGTCCCGAGGCCGACTATTCATTGGATAAAGGACAATGCTTCATATCCTTTAGAGTCGAACCCCAGAGCAAGTGTCATTCAGGACAGCAACGAAATTCGCAGCCTGCTCTTATTAACAGGAGTACAGAAGGAAGATTTTGGAAAATATCAGTGCATTGCAAATAACAGCTTTGGAAGAAGCCAATCAGGTGTGGCTTTCCTAAACAAAGGTGAGAATTTTTTTTAAATTGATACGGAAAAATTGCCGACGCAAGTTCATTTCGACTCTTTGATGACTGCTTCTGGTGTACAATTCCTTAAATTAATAAAAAACATTCTTTTTATCAAAAGATCGAGAAAAAGTAAGCAGTGTTTTCTGTAAATTGTTTTAGCAAACGTTTACCGCCCTCGCTTAAGTTTCACCCGCTTCTGCACTGGCTTAGTCATCTTGTCATTAAGATCTCTTGAAGCTTAGTCCTCTTTGAAAGAGTTTTTTCGACCATCGCACAGAATGCCTGGACATCATCAACTATTCACGAGCACTGAAGCGCGGGGGGAATTGAATGAAATCGCACCTTGAAAAGCCCAGAATAAGAGAAGAAAGGACCGAAACTAACGAAGCAGTGTTTATAAAACTCGCTTTCCCAATAGCCAAAAGCGCGATGATCCCGAAGAACAGCTACTAATGAGACAACTCATCACGTCACATGCATCAAAATGAATCAAATACATTATTTTTATGTTAATTTGCAGATGTCCAAAAACCTGAGATTGTTCAAGGTCCAAAGAACCAAAGTGCCTGGATCGGTTCTAATGCTACTTTTAGTTGCACTGCTAAGGGCTTCCCGAGGCCAACAATCCAATGGATCAAGGATAATGTTTCATATCCTTTACAGTCTAATCCCAGAGCAAGTGTTACTCTAGACGGGCCAACGAATCGTGGTCAGCTGTTCATAACCAGAGTAGAGATGGAAGATTATGGCAATTATCAGTGTCTTGCAAAAAACAGCGTTGGAGGAAGCCACTCAGGAAAAGCTGTATTAAGCAAAGGTGATATGTTAGTTTCGAATGAAAATCGCGAAGGCCTGTATTTCACAAGTTTTTCCATCCTATACACTCCTTCCCTATTCCTCGGCTGTTCTTTCGTCTTCTATTTTTGGCTTTCATTTATATCTTTATCAAGTTATAATTCTGACTGATTTTTGTTATTATCATTGCTATTAACAACAAACATATGAAACATATGTGTGAACTGCGGTTATGAGACGTATATGAGAACGATCCTTCGCAGTAAAGCACTATTTGAGCAATAGTGAAAATCAGACCTGAAAAAAATTTCAGGCCTGTACGGGATTCGAACCACTGACCTCTGCGATACTAGTGCAGCGCTCTACCAATTGAGCTAACAAGCCAACTGGGAGCAGGCCATCAAATTAATTCGATATAAACCCGTAGATGATAAATCAAACAACAACAAACATATGAAACATATGTGTGAACTGCGGTTATGAGACGTATATGAGAACGATCCTTCGCAGTAAAGCACTATTTGAGCAATAGTGAAAATCAGACCTGAAAAAAATTTCAGGCCTGTACGGGATTCGAACCACTGACCTCTGCGATACTAGTGCAGCGCTCTACCAATTGAGCTAACAAGCCAACTGGGAGCAGGCCATCAAATTAATTCGATATAAACCCGTAGATGATAAATCAAACAACAACAAACATATGAAACATATGTGTGAACTGCGGTTATGAGACGTATATGAGAACGATCCTTCGCAGTAAAGCACTATTTGAGCAATAGTGAAAATCAGACCTGAAAAAAATTTCAGGCCTGTACGGGATTCGAACCACTGACCTCTGCGATACTAGTGCAGCGCTCTACCAATTGAGCTAACAAGCCAACTGGGAGCAGGCCATCAAATTAATTCGATATAAACCCGTAGATGATAAATCAAACAACAACAAACATATGAAACATATGTGTGAACTGCGGTTATGAGACGTATATGAGAACGATCCTTCGCAGTAAAGCACTATTTGAGCAATAGTGAAAATCAGACCTGAAAAAAATTTCAGGCCTGTACGGGATTCGAACCACTGACCTCTGCGATACTAGTGCAGCGCTCTACCAATTGAGCTAACAAGCCAACTGGGAGCAGGCCATCAAATTAATTCGATATAAACCCGTAGATGATAAATCAAACAACAACAAACATATGAAACATATGTGTGAACTGCGGTTATGAGACGTATATGAGAACGATCCTTCGCAGTAAAGCACTATTTGAGCAATAGTGAAAATCAGACCTGAAAAAAATTTCAGGCCTGTACGGGATTCGAACCACTGACCTCTGCGATACTAGTTNTATCCACAGCAACTACTACCCCCACACCTGTCACGGAAAGACAGCTGGAAGATTCAGCATCCCACACTACTATTATCGCTGTTTCATGCGTTTTGATAGCTGCACTTATTTGTGTAGTCATTGGGTTTTTGTGGAATCGGTGTAGAAATCGCGATAACATACATGCCCAATACACCCAGACCGTTGCTATTCGTCTACGGTCGTTGACGAATCGTCAAACCGAAAGTCGAATCTTGCGTGAACATACCGGATTTTGAGGGGTGTGAGCAATGAATGAAAATGATTAGCATGGTACGAGTAAATGAAAACATAAACTTCCCTCTTTCTTAAAGCATGAAACAGCCGGAAGTCCATTTTCAGAATATTATATTAGGTATGGGTCGCACTTGTGCAAAGTCAACTTTGCCGGCAAAAAGACCACAGAAAATTTGAAACCGCAACCGGAAGGCAAACTTTTGGTTTCAACTATCAGGGTCGCACTAGGTGAAAAAAATGTCAGTGATGACACTGATAAATCAGACACACGTTTATCGACGTGTTATGGGGAGAGAGCAGTGAGCTGAAAAAGGAAAACAAAGGTTAAAAAATGCATCCCGTTGAAGCATTGTTAATAACGATCGCGGTGATGCTTATTCAAATCACGAGCACTTTTTTGTCTTTCCTATGATCTATGAAAGCTAGGTTAACGCCTGTTTAACTGTTTGTACTGCCGCTATGATGAGAGCGAGAAATCGACGTCAGCGAAGATTACTTACAGCGCCATATGCCTGGTCAGCTCCGCGACCAGTCGAGTCGTTTGCTGTTTACTGACAAGCTATGACAGTTACCGCTGTGATAGCTATTGTTTAGCCCGAGATTTCCGAAATCTGCCTGCCCCACCCAAGCACTACGGCGTCTTTGATGTTTTGGCCGTTTTTCAAAGTTTTTGCGTTCTGGAAGAGTTAGGGTCGCATTAGACAATGTGCCCCGATGACAGATTTTTACACCAATTTGACGAACTTCACACCAAACCTTGCCAAGTGCGACCCATGCCTTAGTTAAACAATACAGAGGTAGAAAATGTTGACGAATCGACGCGATTCCCGCGGATCGACTAGACTCGTCCTCAGTAAAGTAAATCCGTCTCACCGGGAGTCGAATGCAGAAAAACACAATACACACTTACGCGTTGACGATTTGCACGGGTGGACTCAACGCGTTCTCTAGTTGTATGTATGTATGTAAATCTTTATTTAAACAGCGGGAAATCATCAGTTAAGTTTAAGTTAAAAACTAATACTAACTACAACTGCTTTATATGATTGCCGTGTGGGAATCCGATATATTAACTACCTTCTTGATATTTGGCTTAAAATGCTCAACGGATGAAGTATTTTTTAAGCTTTCGGACAAGTTATTCCATAACATAGCCCTGCTGTAAGAGAAGCTTCGTTTCAAATCATTGGTGCTTTGCTTGGACAGGGTTAGCCTTCCCTTAGAGTTTCTTAAGTTGTAAGCAGAGTGACTCTGAGAGAAGAGATTTTGTAGATATTTGGGAGTAAGGTCATTCATGATTTTATACATCACTAAGGCTTTTTGTTTCTTTTGTCGAAGAGATAGCCTCTCTCAGTCCAGGGTGGGGAGAAGGTGGTCTGAGCTCGTATCAAAGGGTGATTTAGTAATAAATCTGGCTGCACGATTCTGTAATTTTT